ATCTAATTTAAAGAAAGGTGTCGCGTAAATTATATTAAAATTGTGGGGGATGCATAATAAGCTTGATAGGAATAAAGTTTCGGATAATAGATAAGATAGATCGCATTTTTTTGTATAATTTGATTTTTTTTTTGGTTTTTTTTTTTTTTTTTTTTTAATTTTATCTTTTAAGATTTTATAATATATATTAATATATATATATATACTCCGGTCTAAATTTCGGTCTAGATTCCAGTTTCAAAACGGTCTACAAATCGGTCTGCAGTTCGATTCTACCCTCAAACCGATAAAAATCGGACCAAACCAAACTGGTCGATCCGTTTTACATCCCTAATAAGCCTCTGATATTTTCAATTTTGGTTGGCTAAAAAATTATATATTATTATATATTCTAAAAAAAAAACTTTAAAATATTAAAAAAAAACTTTAAAGATGTGTATTTTTTAATAAAAATTTAATAGTAATTTATTATGATAATCCTATTAATACTTCATCTAAAGCTTTAAATAATAGATGTATTTTTTAATAAAGATTTGGTAGTAATTTATTATAATAATTCCTATTAATTACTACATTTAAAGCTTTGAAAAATGATTCACATTTTGCTTATATCATTGTAATCTTTCATTTAAGTATTATATTCTCCTGAAAATAAACATTCTGAATTTATTTATTTTTGGATAATTAAAAATATAAAAGAATTAAAAAGGTAAACTTAAGTTTAATCAACACAAATCCTATATAATTTTAGATTATCACTAATATATGTAAATATATTAATAGTATTAAATTGCTGCATTATCACAAAAATGTCTAAAAAAAATAAGTTAAATTTAAATTAAGCAAATTTATTAAATATGAATAAAATTTTATTCTGTAAAACAAAAGATATAATTTTTATATATGCAAAAAAAAAAGAAAATATTAAAATTATAAAGCATTTAATATCTATATTAAAGCAAACTCAGACTTATAATATAAAATAAATAAAAAGATTTAATTAAATTTATTAAATATTAAAATATTATTAATAATAAAAATCTAATATAAAGTCTTAAAATTATAATAAAAATATTATCAAAACTTACTAATTAATTTTTTATAAAAAATATAATAATAAAATAATATAATAATAATAAAATAGAATTCATTTTCTCATTAAATTCTTAAAATTATCTTAAATATTTTGCTTCAAAAGAAAGTTAAGGAAGTAAAAAATGAGATTTTTTCTGATGTAAAGACCTGTGACTTACGTCTATGGAAGGTACAAGACGATAAGAACAAAGACATAAAGGGTCTCATAAAGGGAGAACTTAGCAAATTCTAGGAAAAGCAACCTTCCAAAAAAAATACTTATCTTATAGTTAATTCGCCTTATTTGATCAAAAAACGAAAGCGTCAAAAGGCAGAAGATAACCTATTAATTCAATTTTAAAGAATGGGATTGCATGATCAAAGTAGATAATTATTCTCAGAGATATGCTTTTTCAACTTGATATAGATATATTATAACATGAAAGTTTTTATAACAATCCATTGAAGGCCTTAACGGTAGAGAAAAAAATGATAATCTTGAGGGAATAACGTATCAAAGTATATAATAATTCCAATTTTGTTTTTCAATATGGTATTCTTCTACACAATATTGACGTATTCTAACACAAGTTTTTTAACACCACCTGATGAGGAGCCAATTAATGAGAATCCTATTATTGAGGAGCTTGTTAACGAGAATCCTGTTGTAGAAGGTCTCATCAGTGAGAATCCCAACAATGAGGAACTAAATAAAGAAACTAACAATGATCCTGTTCAGTTGGAGGTTGGTGATAGCATTCAGGCATCAATCCAAAATAGTCATTTCTGTAAGTTAAGACAAAGGCTAAAACAAATTCTGCAATTGTCAATTTTTTACTGTTACAACTTGTCTTAATTTATTTTTGCAGAACAGTCATCTTTCATGCATTTATTTATTAGAAGGGAAATTCGATTGGGTGACGAGCTCAAATTTAATGGAACAGTCGTTGGCCATGTAGTCGAAACAAATAATGGACTAGCTATTCCTTATAGAGGAATAGATTGTACTAGTGAATCCAACATTTTCATGGCGCATTATGGAGTAAGTTGTAATTTAATTGATAAGTGGATTGATTTTATTATAGAGATTAGTAATTTTTAAACAACTTTAGTACATGCCAAATAAACGTGGACGTGAGAGTTTAAGACGACAATACTCCATTGCAGACCGGTCCTTAGAGTTTATGAAAAATCTTGAATAAAACTCTCAGCATCTATTATCTCCCATGCAAGTTACTTCCTATTGGCCATAATTTTGTGTCCCATTTTTGAATATTATTATCGTGTATCTAGAATGGAGATTAATATATAATGTAGATTTTTATTAGGATTGATATGTATTCCGCAGTCATTAAGATACAATTTTCATGGGTATATACCCGATTTGTACTGTATTTATTTTGCGCTAATAAAAATTGGAAACGCCATTGTATAATGTGATTTAGTGCGATAATCACAGTACGTTTATTTTTTAATAAATTTATATTACCGTGTATAAGCGGGCATTTGTCATGATTTTTTCCCGAAGGTTCTTCTAGCATATACTGTACTCAGCTTTCCATGAATTAATGATTTGCGAGGATTAATGATTTACATGTGTCGCATATCATGATGTTAGAATGGAACAAAAATGGAAATTTGGGGTTAAGGTCAGATCTCTCGGAATAAACGGTAGATTTTAATTACCCCATTAGCGTTAGCTTAAGGACGCGCATTCAATATTACGTGTATAACTCCCGAAATATTAATCAGGTTGTTAATCGAGATTATTATGATATGATCATATTAACGTTATTTCCCCCAAAAAGCGTATAACAAAATCGATTCTGTGAATTATATAAAAAGGTGATGACCTGATTAGTGAATCCTTTTATCTGCCTTGTACAAGTAAAACGAAAAAAAATCAAACGAAATATTCAAACTAATCGAACTTACCATTATTTACATCATCGATATTATCTATCAAACAAACAAGTATATTCTGTAAAGTATTATAAGGTATATTGGTTTTATTGCTCGGCTAACTTCTTGAACATGTCATCACGATGTTAATCGATTTTCCCAAAATAAAACGGACATAGTTATATATCGGCATTTTGATCTTCGCCGAGAAAATCTTTGACTATCATCATGCGAGTAAAATAACTAGCACGAAAATATTATCTAATCTAATCGAATCCACGTGTCTCATCAGCACAGTAAAATTTTGCTGTGGCTTTCCTATCATCTGATTTCAGCATCAACAAAATTTGGCGCAGTATCGTACTGGTGATAAAAAAATCGACATGCATTTATTATAACGCTCTAAGCACACGATTAAGAGCCAAATTATGTATCATGTGATCGTCAACTAATTTTTTGTGTGACTTTTATTATCCCTTGAACTCGGAACACATCAGGTACTCACTTTTTTAAAATTTGTAAGTACTTCCATTTTACTTCGTTTCCTGACATGAGTTTTGCAAATCTTTAGCATATGTCGCACAAATACTTTGAACGTGCATATTCTGATTGAAATATTTTAGGATTCTTGAACGAATGTGAGGTGGAACCTTTCGACCAGAAGTTATCATATTATATTTCGTGCCTTAAAAAAATAGCTAATAATAAAGAAGAAGGATACAGGCGCAAAAAGCGCAGGCCTTGCTTGATCGATATAAAAAGACGAGTATTAGAACTTCTATTGTTAAAAATGCAGGTGGGGATAGTGGCAAAGGATTCTCTGAGATTTTTTGTTACTGGCGATATTGAGGCATAGGAGACTCTCTGAGGTCCACTGTGTTCAAGGCTAAAAGCTGACTCAGTACCGGCCCTGTTGGAGCCCAGACGATTCTCCGAGGTTGTTTGGCGTTCAAGGTTTCTAAGCTGATCTGACAGTTGGATGGGGAATTATAAAGAATTGGAATGTATTAGTGTAAAATATTGCTAATAAGCGATTCTTTCATGTTAGGAGCCTAAACCCGACTACAAAACAGCTAGAAAGTGGGAAGGGGAGCGCATTAATAAACAGATCCACCTCCACAATCCTACAATCATGAATGTAAAAAACGGAATCGGAACTATAGGAACTATAGAAACTGTGAATGTGTTGGTTTCTGGATCAAAGAAAGAGGGTTCTTATTTACAAGTGCGCGTTTTTTTTTTGCTAAAGTTGAGGATCAACAGCTTTTATAGAGCAATTTTAACTCTTTCTTATTTAGTCCGATGATGATGATTTTCAACCTGCTATATCTTTCACTCAAAAGCGTAAAAAAATCTATCAATATTGAAAAAGGTTAGTAAGTTTTTTGGTATAAAAAATGTCGCCTTGAATTTTATAGTGAGCACTTCTTACTTTTGATATTTACAGAATAAAGAATCGGTTGTCCTACGGAGGTCGGTATAGAATGCATCTCTATGATGATAAGGATTTGTTTATCGTGAGCTCCTCTCAAAAATAGCAACTAATTTGCGTGATTTCTTTTTAGGCTGATGATGATAAAGATCCTGTATTAACTGGTAACATAAATGGTTCAAAAAAGCGTAATAGGAAGTCATCTAAAGAAGAAGAAAAGGTGAAGAATTTGTAGTCTTTTCAGAGTAACTTAGCAAATGTTAATTTTTTGTAACATTGTAACATTTTTAATGATCGTTCATCTACAGTCCGACATATTAGAAAAAGTTGAATATCAGGATGAACCGGCTGCAAAAAAAGTAGGCAGAAGGAAACTAACAGTACTAAACGTACATATGTGTTGAAATGGAATTTATATGATTAGTTGACATGTTGTCTTTCTTTTTATGCAATGTATATATTAACAGTTAAAAATGTTAATAATGTTAAAATATTGGATTGTTATTGCCCAGCGCTCTTAATTCCATACTCCTTTTAGAGGAAAACTCTGTCCGTGTACAATTGGATATTTCATCAGCCATTCGCACAAAGATTTTTGAGCAAATGAGGGCAATATACCCGAGACACGATTTGCCGAAAGTGGTTGAAGAAATATGTCGTCGATGTGCTCGAATTGCCCGAAAACAGACCAGAGAGGCTTTAGAAGAAGAAATTGACAATGCTTATAATGATTTAAGGACGAACTTGAGTTCATCCGATAAAAAATTGTTGAGAACTAGTCAGAATGTTTGGAATCACATGTAGGTGTATTTCTTAATTTGATTTTGGATTTTTTGTATTTCTTAAGTTACTAAGATAATTCTAATTAGTGCAGAGAATTGGCGAACAAGTTTTGATAGTCCTCAAACAATAGAAGATACCCACGTACATCATTCAATACATCCTTTTTTACGTCCATTTTTCCCCGATGGACCGGATAGGACAATTGATTGGTAATTATACAGATCAGTGTTAGTTATTGCTTTAGTGGGCATTTAAATGCAGTATTAATGTTATATTTGCTTGCTTTTTCATAGGGCAAACAAGTTGTCGTTCGTAAGCGCATCTAGGAAAACAAATGACGATGACGAAGGTGAAGGACATAAACCCGACTTTACAATCACAGTTAATAAAAGAAGTGGCAAATTTGAAATTGTATTTGGGCTATTCAAATCGCCTTACAAAAGTAGCTCTCATTTCGCAAATGTTGATTTAGTGGATTTAGGAGTGTTAATGAAAGATTCACTAGATAACATGTATAAAGAGAAATGTCTTGAATTAGATATGACTGTATTTGGAATTCATGCATTTGGTATGTAGCTTTCCGGATATATTTTTTTTCTGAATGCTTTTATCTAATCAGTTTAGCATTCTGTTGGCAGGTTATAATGTCCGTATATATGCTATGGACCTTTCATATGATGCTGTATACAGAATGTATTTGATAGGAGAATTTGAAATGCCAAAAAGTAATATTAGCCTGTGTTTGGTTGAAAATGTGTTACAAGAAGTAGGAAAAATTTGAAGGTAAATTTGATGGTCTTTTGGTATTATTATTAGTTGCTAAATTATCAACTTCATGGTTTGCTAATTACCAATCACAGAATTTCGTAGAAGAATATATTGAGAGACTTCCATCCTACACCACTAATAATGACAACATTATAAATACTCCAACCGAAAAGATGAGAATGACTAGGAGAACGGTAGCAACTCCTCGCAAGGTATATTTTCATCATTTTTTATGTATCCGCTCATTTTTTGATTCAGGAGTTTCTCATTACTTTTTTTATGCTATCTTTTAGGTAGAGTTGAAGTTAGGCAATGTGTAATTAGCTTGCTACATGATTTGTAATTGCAAATTGTCTATCCGAAATGTCTTTTGGTTTGATTGAAGCCTTAATAGTAAATCAGAATTCGTGTTTAAAGTGATTATTATGCAATTTGCCCAATTGGGTTTTAATGTGGCCTTACTATAATAAGGCTTACATGACGTGATATTATTTAGCTTGAAATAAAATTATAAATTTTGTTGCACTTTGTGCCCTGCGAAGCGTTACATTGTCAGATATCTTTTTTGGTATGCTGATCGTTACCATTGGTAACTGTTTTTTGTCACAAAATTTTCACCCGAAAGATGTATCAACTTTTAATAGCATAGGGAAAGAAAAAATAGCGTGGATTAGATCTATTCCCCCATCATACGTCTTAAATCTAACTAAGGATGAAAAAGTTTATGTAATAGCCGAAATCTTAAAGCAGAAAGTTCGATAATGTACTGCGCCATGTGATTAATCTATTTTTCTGCGCAATTTTGACGGTGTCCAGACTCTACCATCAGAAAAAATAGATTTTCGTTCACGTGTATTTACAATTCCCGAATTCCATTAGATCAAAGGCTATCCGGCTAAAGAAAAAATCCGAAATCTGATTGGCCGATCATCTCGTGATTTATAGAAACTCGCCAGCTCCTGGAACTCTCCAAGGGATCTAGGCGTCGTGCATATGCATGTAAATATAAAATTAGATTCCTCTGGAACCCCCCATATATAAATATAAATTCCCCGATATGCTTGTAATCGAATAAAAATGAATCTGATATTTATTATAATATATTTGTTACAAACTGCTATAAATCACTGAAATTGCTATAAATCTCTTAATCGCTAAAATCGTTACAAACTGCTTATTTGTTATATAACTCTAAATATGGATTTAGATAGTAGAACCTGTTCTAAGCTAGTTGGAGTAAGCTATAGTGATGTAAACTTTGAAGTATATAGAAGAATAGTTGATGCATTAGGCCCTTTAACAGGAAAATATGATCACGAAATACCAGAAATGTGGTGTTCTCGTATTCGTGATCCATTTAGAAAAATACTAGAAGAGAACCCAAGAATCCTTTCTAAAAATGGATTTTATTACAATGTATGGAAAGTTATATGAAAGTGATAGTAAAGTTCACGGTCATCCATCAAATTATATATATTGTAATGTATGTGACTCCCTGGTATTTATACCTGGAGAGTATACAAAACGTTCTTATCACAATCAAGATAACCACTTGAAGAGATGTATTTCTAGAAATACTATTTTGAATGAACATGCAAGAAGAAAAGAAATTCTTCAATCGATTGATACAAAGAAATTTCAAATCTGGCAATACAAATAATACATATTAAAAGAAGAGGTGAAAATGAAGCGTCTCTAACTGGAGCTTTTATCCCAATCTATTTCACACTCAGAAAAGAATAAATTGGCATCGATATCATATGATTATGATACTCATACAATTCTCTATGAAATTTATGTACAGGCTAAAGCAACTATGGCAAAAAATATTATGCCAAGTGCTCCAAATTTCAAGGCAGCTTGTATTTCACCTACTAGGTAATGTAGTGCAAGTGCATCTGAGATTAGAAATCTTTGAAATGATTAATCAAATATGCCTAATATTTCTAGTAAGACTATTTTAGGCGATCTTGCTAAAGCATATTTTGATTCTGTGCGAACAAATGCAGGAAGAAAATGGACTTTATATCTTTCAACTAAATATTAACATTATGTATCTTAATTATATTTAGTCAAACATAGCTTAAATTTTATTTTTTATGAAATGATAGCTATATAATCTACATGCATGATCGCCTAGTAAAATTGATTGAAGGCGTTATGCATAAAATGTATCGCCTGCAGACGCTATACATAATCTACCTATTCTAGGTTAGATCCTCTAATCTATAACTATTTTAATAAAGTATTTTTTGAGAAGTTCAGGAAGATTAATTAAGCGATCTTGGGGATTCTTGATTATGAGATAATATAACTATTAGTTTGAGAATTTCTATACAGTAGTTATCCAACAAGCTTACAGGAATTACAAAAAAAAGACCTGAGTCTTTAGCAAAACAGGTTTGAAAAGTGATGAGAAATAATGGTACTCCTGATAATAAGAAATTTTTAGATATTGTTCCTCATAGTAAAACATATTATTTCATTAATAGAAACTAATAGAATCTAATTATATGAGTAATCGATTTTATGCAAAAAATAAGCATAACATTTATTTTGCTACTACTTGGGCAAATGTGAAGATAAATCAGTTATATGGACGATTAGGTACTGTAACATACATAGCTACTTTTAGAGTATTATATCAGCAAGGCTATATAGTTATTAGAAGTACAGGCTGGTCTGACATGTTAAAATGGTTACAGAATCCCAAATATTATTATATTAATAAAAAATATAACTTTGAAAACATCATCAGAATTTCAGATTGTGAGAAATATAGGGTAAATCAACAGAAATATAAAGAATATGTGATTTATTGTCATTAGAATTCCTATACTATATTCATGGAAAGGATGTTATTGTAAATTTCTCAGATTTGGATAATAATTATGAGTTTGTGCATTAAATTTTCTAGATCAATCCTTGATCCAGATCCTGAATAATATATTGTCCAGCCATAATGCATGTAAGCATGTGTGACATAAATTAGCACGTTTTTGATTCTCGTTAAAGTATATATGATGTAATAGGTAATACATCACAAATCATCTGTAACTTTATAACTGTTTGTGCGACAAAATAATTTCATACATAAACCGATTTTCCAAAATATTTTGAATTTTTCCTTATAACATTTAGCAGAATAAGATTTAATGAAATAGCATTTATTAATATGTATATTTGCTTCAGATAGATGGAATATTTTTATTATTCTGAGTAAAAATATGTTTATATAACATTGTCAGGTCTTAATATTAAGCAGTTGAGTAAAAAAAAGTTCGTATATGTATTGTCTCTAACGCCTTTGTAAATGTTGAAATCTTCAATGCACATTTCGCATGTTTTTATTAATGAACACAAACTTTTGACGTAAAGTATTTCGCATATTTTTTCCAACTCTTTTTCTCAATATAAATGCAAGTTAAAGAAAACATGAATAGAGAAGTCACTAAAGATTTAAAAGGGCAAGTGTATAAAATTCAAGTTATTTGTCGCTTATTATTTTTTTAGTAAAATTCTAAACACTATATTTTTTATTATTATGTTTTTTTCTGCATTATATGAAAATATTTATAATTTTTTACTTGATTTACCCTTAGATTATATTACCGCATTTTCTGTTATTTTTCAACTAATAGAAGATGATACATAATATCCAAAAGATAAGTTAAGAGAAATAATTCATTAGGCAATTATAGTAGTGAAAAAGAATTATGATCAAACTTTGAAAAAATATCTGAAATTCATTGATATTCTCTTGAAGGTTAGTGATTATTACTATTATTTATCAGATTTATAATCCCAAATGATAATTGCGCAGAATAATATTTTTATAATCAAATTAAGTGAGTACCTATAGCCATATGGGTATAGGTTTAATCGGATACATTAATTCCTTAGACACACAGGGGTTAAATCTTAGTTATAGTTTATGAAGAAAAAAATATAGCATTCATGTACATTGTCTATTATATGCAGGCCACATATAGTTAATAATTTACTTGAAATATGTTGATGGATGTATGTATATGATTCTAATATCAAAAAGATTAATTATATTAGTACTAATATAAGACTTTGCGCTAGTTTGATGATACATATAAAGATATAAGTAGTCTTTAGAGTATCAAAGAATCAAAACAGGTAGAACTGCTCACTAAGAATGAAATTGAAATGAACTTGCGTGTATTAAAAATCAATCTTAAAAATAGTAAGGCTCTATACACCTATCACTTTCATAAATATTAAAGAAGAAAAGTACTTCAGCCTTATTATGACATATTTCACTTGCTAGTCAAGTGATTTGTGCAGATTCAGAAATGGTGAGAACTTTAGAAGTAGAGGCATATAACTTTTTATGGTGAGTAATTTAGCAAATAGTATTTTGTATTATCATAGTCCACTTTTAGCAAAGAGTATTATATTAATATTGTGATCTCATAGAATCTGGTAGAACATATGAAAGTAACTGCTCCAGATCTTGTCAAAGATAATTGTAATTTCTTCTTTTTGAATTTCATAGACAGTATTACAAATGTCCCAAATAATAGACTTTTACATGATAAAAGTTGGAAAGAATCTAACGAAAAACTAGCAAAAGTTACATTAAGTGTATTCGATATCTTGTGAGTATTTCAGTAATAAGAGCCTTAACATATCATAATAATTATATTTGTTATTTCTTAAAATTTCTGTTTAAAATTACGTTTAATATTATTCTTTATAAGAAAGCTATTTAAAAAATCTCACCTTCAGTTCAAAGCTGGTTAAGTCACAAAATGAAGAAACATATAAACTGATGTAATAGTTTTGATGATTCAAGCATCATTAAAAGATCTTTCAATAGGAAAATCTGATTATATTTCAATAGCTGAGTATTAAAGTATAGCCAGCAAAGATCGAAGAGGAGTTAAAAAATGATCAGATATTATGTTTATCACTAGTTGTAATAATAGATTATATGAATTAATTTATGGTAAAAGTTCCCGTATCATTTGTGATGAACAAAAAAAGGAAAATGATAAGGTAAAAACTTAGAGAGAGATAAATGATAGAATGTATTAGGCTCACAAAGGATATAAACCAGACAAAGACGATTTTGGTATTATTGGGATCTAAATCGCTAAAACTAAGATGCATCTAAATATTCTCATTTGAGGTATAGATGAAATACATCACTTCTATAATTTACATACAGTTGAAATTCTAATACAGCTAATAGATAGGAATACAGTGTTTAAATTTGTTAAAACTTTATTAACAATACGGATATGTGAATGCAATTCTTATATTTCACTTGCTTAAAATTAATATATAC